TTTACAGAACCTCTATACTATTCTCCAGAGTATCTGCACCAATTTACATTCCCACCAACAGTATAGGAGGGTTTCTTTTTCTCCACACCCTGAAAGGCACTTAAAATTTTTTTAAGGCACTTTAAAACACAGGCATTTGACTGTATATGCCAAATGATCTGTTGTCTAAATGACAAAGAAAACAACAGAAATATTATTGTTTTAAGTATTCATGTTGCTTATGGTAGTGCTGGTATTATTATTCTGGATTCTTATTTTTGTCTTGTTCAGTAAATGAAACAAAAAATTGATACCATTGATAACTCAAATCTTCAGTTTGTTTTAATGCAAGCACAGATATAATAAATAGCAATTTATAATGTGTTTTATCTTAAAAGCTTTAAGAAGGGAAACCTGTAGAGGAAAATGAGCTTCAGAGACATGTCAATCAATCCAAATTTTGAAACTGTGATGGCTCTGGTTTATATAATGCTTTCTTCCTATTATGTGTATTTGGAATAATTCCATAATAAAAATGTTAAAGAAAAGAGTTCATCATGTCTGTTTGGATACGTATTATTTCTTTTGTCCTGTTAGAACCCTGTTCTATTAGCTAATATATAGATCATTTCACCTTATAAAAATAGAGAAGCTATTTGCTTAAGGTTTAAAAGACATAACTCATAGTTTAGTATTCTTCCAGGGATATAGTGTTTTAAATTCTGTTACAATTGAATAATTCTGGAATATTTTGCTCATGTAATAGCAGTACCTGGTATAATTTCTGCCAAATGAAGAAGCTCATATATTTAAAAGATGTATGTCTCCTCTTTAAGTGCAAGTTATGTGAGAACAGGGACTAAATGTCTTTTGTTCACTTAAGAATTATAATAATGCTTGTTGTATATTAGGTACATAAGTGTTATCTGTACCTTTGTTATAGAATAACATTTACATAGCACTTGATATATTTTCAAAATGCTTTCAATTATAATCTTTCATTTTTCCTCTCTTAAATTTCCCACATGTTGAAAAGGCTGGTATTATTCTCCATTTGAGGCTTTCCAAATGGTGCAGGTAAAGAACCTGCCTACCAGTTCAGGAGATGTAAGAGCTGCTTGTTCAATCCCTGGGTCAGGAAGATCCCCTGGAGGAGGACATGGCAGCTCACTCCAGTATACTTGCATGAAAAATCCCATGGACAGAGGAGCCTGACGGGTTACTGTCCATGGGGTTGCAAAGAGTCGGCTGCAACTGAAGTGACTCGGCACACACGCACATTCTCTGTTTAATGAGGGAAAAAAAAAAACTTGGAAAATAGTGCTTGAATGTTGTGTAAATACCAGAAAATTGCAGTTGCTTTAGAAACCATATATAATAAGTAAGTAATTACAGATTTGGGGACAGCTTTCTTTTAATCATTATGGATAAAGCTTTATGAATAAGTATTATGACTTCAGATGTCTTTGTTTGAATCATAAAATTGGTAGATTTAAAGGTCAAAATGAGTCAGTGGTCAACAGTTTCACAGCTTTCAACCTGTAGAATAGTAAAACTAGAAAGAAGATGGGAACTGTTATCCCTTCATCATTATCGACTTGCTGGTCACCCATGAAGCTACAGCTGAATGAGAACTGATTCCTCTGGCTGCCCAAATCATTCGCATTAATTTTCATTCAATTGTTTCTCTTTATTCATTCATCTAGAGTCTTTCATTTTCATTAACAAAGCATGGCCCTTGGTTGACTAGTATTTATAGCTGTAACAAAGTATGGACAGAACCCTGGCAGCAGTGCATTAGGGAATTAAAAGTTTTGCTTCTAATCAAAGAGCCACTGACTGCTTCAACCCATCTAGTCAAGTACAGGCAAGGGTTACTTCCTCCCCAGCGCATTAGAGCCATACTGTGTAGGTACTTGATTGGGCAGTGGAAGTTCGGTAATTAACTTTGCATGCCAACCTGCCCTCCAGCTCAAGATTTAGGAGAAGAATCCTATTGCTACCAAATGAAATTTAAAGTTAGGACCAAAATAAATTAAATATATCCTGTCCATTGACAAATATTGAATGTTCATGTATATATTCAAATTCAATATTGAGTTAACCCATGGCCCTATAAAAATATTTTGGTGCATAATAGAAGGGAACATATTTGTAAAGAAAATTCTGATCCTGAGAACAGAATTACAGTTAAAAAAAATACTTGGTTATATATAGTTGGCATTATCAATAATAAATATGACCGGAAGATGAGGGAAAAAAAGATATGCCTGCAATAGCTGAAGTTAATATGTTAATGGTTGACTTGAGTAATGATGAATGGAAAACAAAAATTAATAATCATCTGATGTGGGCTGATTTGTTGTTCAGTCACTAAGTCATGTCTGATTCTTCGCGACCCCATGGACTGCAGCATGCCAGGCTCCTCTGTCCTCCACTGTCTCCCACAGTCTGTCCAAATTCACGTCCATTGAGCCGGTGATGCTATCTAACCGTCTCATCCTCTGTTGCCCCCTTCTCCTTTTGCCTTCAATCTTTCTCAGCATCAGGGTCTTTTCCAGTGAATCAGCTCTTTTCGTCAGGTGGCCAAAGTATTGGAGCTTCTGCTTCAGCATCAGTCCTTCCAGTGAATATTCAGGATTGATTTCCTGACAGGTTAGATCTCCTTGTAGTCCACGGGACTCACAGTGTCTTCTCCAGCACCACAATTCGAAAGCATCAGTTCTTAGGCACTCAGCTTTCCTTATGGTCCAACTCTCACATTTGTACATGACTACTGAAAAAACCACAGTATCCTCCCTGCAAAAAAAAAAAAATCATATGCTGAAATTCTAAGCCTCAGTACCTCAGAATGAGGCTATATTTGGATATAGTCTTTAAAGCGGTGTGTGTGTGCTAAGTTACTTCAGTCGTATCCGACTCTTTGTGATCCCATGGGCTGTAGCCTGCCAGGCACTTCTCTCTCTGGGATTCTGCAGGCAAAAATACTGGAGTGGGTTGCCATGCCCTTCTCCAGGGGATCTTCCCAACCCAGGGATTGAACCCATGTCTCTTACGTCTCCTGCATTGGCAGGCGGATTCTTTACCACTAGTGCCACCTGGGACACTTTCAAGGGGTTATTAAGTTACAGTGAGGTCATTGAACTTAATTATGAGGTCATTAAAATGGGCTTCCCTGATGGCTCAGGCGGTAAAGAATCTGCCTGCAATGAGGGAGACCTGCTTCAGTCCCTGGGTCAGGAAGATCCCCTGGATGAGGGCATGGCAACCCACTCCAGCATCTTTGCCTGGAGAATCCCCATGGGCAGAGAATAGTGGCAGGCTACAGTCCATGGGGTTACAGAGTCAGACACTACTGAGTGACTAAGCACAGCACAGAGGTCATTAGGTGGGTCTGAATCCAATGTTACCATTATCCTTACAGGAAGTTATCTGGATACCAGGCATGTACAGAGGGAAGACCTCTGTGAAATGAAATGTGAAAATGTAGGGAGAAGATGGCCCTTTACAAGCCGAGAGGCCCCTGCCAGTACCTTGATCCTGGACTTCTCCAGAATTATTAGATGATTAATTTCTGTTAAGTCACCCAGTGTGTTACCTTGTTATGACAACCTTATCAAACTAATACCCATGTTAAAGGCAGTTAAAAGCAGAATCAACATTCCCCCCAAATTGAGTCAGGGATATAAAATGAAATTTTAGAAACTATTGGAGAATGTATTTTTTAAAGGTCAAAACAATAGAACAAAAAAGGAAAATTTGTGTATGTCTTCTTTATCTTTGTATGACAGATTGAGATATGACACTATATCTGTTCCCATTCCTCGCTCCTCACCCCTAATAATCAAAACTGTAGTGAAGAGAGGTTAAATAAAAGAAAATTCTCCTCAGTGGTAATTTTTAAATCATAAATGAAAATTAAAATATTTGAAAGTAATTGTCTCAGTTCCCCAGGACTGTCATATCAAAGTACCACGAACTCAGTAGCTTAAAACAATAGCAATTAATCATCTCACAGTTTGAGAGGATAAAAGTGTTGGCAGGGCTGTGTTCCCTTAGACAGCACTGAGAAAGAACTGTTTGATGCCTCTTTCCTCTCTTCTGGTAGCCATTGATATTTCTTAGCTTATAGATACATCACTCCAATCTTCTATCTTCACGTGAGAGGCTCCATGTGTGTCTTTGCAGGGCCTTCCCGCTGTGTGTCCACATTTTCAGTTTCTTTGATATAAGTCATATTGGAATAAGGCTCAGCCTGATGACCTCATTTTACTTGATTACCTCTGTAAAGACTCTGTTTTCAAATAATGTCACATTCATAGGTCCTGGGAGTTAGGACTTTGACTTACTTTGAGGGGAGAGACACAATTCCACCCATAACATTAATGTACCAAAACATTAGCAATGTTAATCACTGTATCATTTTTAAAAATTTTCTGTTTTTTAGTTTGCATGTTTTGCTTTTATAATCTGAAAAATGTTTTTCAGAAAGTAACATAAATGATTTTTGTAAAAAGTCTCATTTTTTAATTCTGTACATTAGCTCTCAAGTTTCTATGTTATATAATTCTGGTTGATTTAAATTGTTTTATTATTCAGCAAGAGTCCATTTGCATTAATGTAACATTTAGCAATCTGTCATCTGCATAATTATACATCTGTGATTCTAGGTAGGATAGAAGATGCTCCCATCTCTGAATTAAAATAGTCTCAGCATTTGTTATCTGAGGAGAGCAGACTGGTGTTATAGGTAAGAGAAGGACAATATGAATCAAGAAGGCATTTACAAATAGCATAGGAACAGTATGAACACCATCAGTGAACCCCTAAGTCCCGAGGCCATTAGAGTTTTCTCACACATTAGGCAAGTAGGTGAGGCATCCTTATATCCTTATTAGGCTTCTTGTAGTCAGACTCTCTATTTTGATTGAATGGTTTTATGTGAGTTACTGAGTACTGCTTTTTAAAAGTCAAATATGGCTATATTAGTTTTCTAATGAACTAACTTTTTTTTTTTCTAGATTTGCCTGCAATGGATAACTCAGTGTTTTTGGAATTATTTAGATTGGGTAGAAATCTGCCATTACATTGCTACCTGTGTTTTCCTTGGTCCAGATTATCAAGTGTATATCTGTATAGCTATATTCAAACATCTTCAGCAAGACATTCTACAGCACACTCAGACTCAAGATCTGCAGGTTTTCCTAAAAGTGAGTAACTTTATTTCTAGAGGAAAACTTTTGGTTGAAAGTTATCAACTTTGATGGGGTGCCTAGTGCCAGATATTTTTCTATATGCTCATTCAATCCTAAAAACAACCTTGAGAGGTAGGTATTATTATCTTTATTTTAGATATGAGGAAACAGGTGTTAAGTACATTGCCCAAGATTTTACTGCTGGTGAATGCTGCTAAACTGTGATGGGGCTGGGATATGAACTTAAGCTGTCTGACTACAAAATTTTGCTTTTAACCAGTATGCTGTGCCTAAAGGCCTTTTTTTTTTTATACTCCTGTATCTTGTTTAGCTAATAAAAGTCAAGTTACTGTGTATTAATACACAGCTTTGAAACTTTAAAAAAAATGTAATTTCTTATACCTTCATACTCTGTTTTTCTAAACTTTGAAATATTTTTTGAAAGGTTTCCATGAAAGAATCTATCTTAACACTATTTTTAAAGTCATTATTATATAGAAGTACAGAAGTTAATATTTTAAAGCAAGATCTAATAGCTTTCTTTCTCACAATAATGTGACTTTTGAAACTCTGGACTTTAGAGAATATAAGATATATAAATACCTCCCTATGTGTGATTCTTGCTGTAATTCCAACTTTGTTTTAAGTCGAAATATTTCCTTGAATTTAAAGTATATTTCCCTCCCCCTGATACCCTCAGATACATACGCATGCATGTACACACTTACCGCAGAACCAACATTTGTCATATGTAGCTTTTTTCTAGGTGGACACATAATTTCCATGTGAATTACTTTTATTTTTATTATTTATTGTTAGATATTTTTCAGTTATTTTTCTTATTTTTGCTATTTTCTGTCAAACCTCAACATGAATCAGCCATAGGAATATATGCATCCCCTCCCTTTTGAGCCTCCCTCCCATCTCCTTCCTCATCCCAACCCTACAGGCTGACACAGAGCTGGTTTCAGTTTCCTGAGACATGCAGCAAATTCCCATTGGCTATCTTTTCTTGCTACTCTTTCCATACAGCCTACCCTCTCCTCCCCTCTCCCCATGTCCATAAGTCTATTCTCTTTGTCTCTTTCTCCATTGTTGCCCTGTAAGTAAATTTTTCAGTACCATTTTTCTAGATTCTGTATATATGCATTAGAATATGGTATTTATCATTCTCTTTCTGATTCACTTGTCATTTGATGATGTCTTTTGTAAGTAAATGTCATTGATCATTTAAGATTGATAAACTGTCAATCATTTTTATTTCATAAATACTAAATCCAAAAGGTCTCAAACTTCCTACATGTATCATAGAATTACGATCTTAGAAACATTCTTAATGAAATAAAGTATAACACAACAATGGTTATACAAGCAGAAGGAAAAGTTAGATAGAAAAAGAAAAAAATTATCTGTAAAGGGTAATTTGGAGAACAGGGATGGTTAAGTAAATGAGAATTATATTGAGGACGAAATGTGGGTCCCTTTTCACTAAGGGGCATTTTCATTAGTTGCAGTGGGCAGTAAAAGGGATTTCAGTGCCTAAAATTTCCCAAAATACTTACATTTGAATGCCTCCTAACCTATAATTAATTAATCTCATATCCTACTTTAGTTTCTTTTATAGTGTTTGTCACTGACTGAAAGATAAATTTATTTTAAATATATTTTTGTCAGTCTTCTCCAGTATAATGTATAAGCTCCACAAGCATTGTGATTTTATCTATCTCAGTTACTAGTGTATTTTTCAGTGCTTTGAACAGCACCTGATACATAGCAGGTGATCAATAAATACTTGTTAGAGTAAACAAAGCATGTTAATAAATATAAAGGGAGAGATTAATGGCCTTAATTTTATTCACATTGAATAATAAAAATTACTAAACACCTTTCTTTCCACGAGAGAGTTGTCCATATACTGCATCATCTTTAAACCTGATAGATGCTGGTGATTATTGCAGTCTCGCCTCTTCCCGATTACTGCCAGGAAAAATAATAGAGTTTACAAGTGGTGACCTCTTTAAATATTTCCCAAACTCTGTTATGCTCTAGGCATAATGCTATCAATTTAAAACTAAAGAATTTTAAAATGAGGGTTTTTTAAAGATAAAAGATTATCTTTGCTAAGTCCTGCTTAAATTACTAAAATTTTAATTGAATTGGTTTAAATCCAAAGTAAGAGCATGTTGGCAAAGAATTAATTTAAGCAGTTGTCCTGGAGCTAACCTTACTTCTTACTCCTACTGTTTGCATTCATCTGAGGTATTAGGAAAAATGCCTTTCTAATACCATGACTTCATATTATTTTTTGTTTTATTTCCAGCAAGTAGATCTTGGGGTCGCTGATCTCTTTTGATGAGCAGTTATTTTTCTTGTGAGATAAATTCCAGTGTACTCTATTAAGTATGCGTTTACATACCCCTTTAACTACTCCATTAAGCCCAGTTAAAATGTCTTCTTTGAAAAGTATGTAAACATATGTACACTATTTTTCATTTATTCACATATTAATCAATAATGAAATTTGTATTAAGGAAGTGATTTTATTCTTCCTTTCCTCAGAAGATCCACCAAGTCAGAAAGACTTTAAAAGTCCTCATTAAACTGTTGTTATGGGGATTAAACCTTTGAAATTATGTTTTATACTTTCTGATCCAAAAGCTCAGACTTGTACAAAGGGGAAAAAAAAAACTTACCAATAATTTTCAGTATAACTACATACCACAGCCATAATGATATTCTTACATAGATTACATGTTAGGCCCTGACTCTACACATTTAGTAATGACTGTTTCTGAGAGGAAAGAGGACGTAGAGTAGTTCAGGGGACTTTTACTGTTTATTGTATGTATTTATGAGGGCTCTTTTTTTAATTTTTGAAGAATGAGCCCCTACTTTTGTAATAAAGCTATTTTTAAAAGCAAAAATAAACAAATGGGACCTAATGAAACTTAAAAGCTTTTGCACAACAAAGGAAACTATAAACAAGGTGAAAAGACAGCCTTCAGAATGGGAGAAAATAATAGCATATGAAGAAACAAAGGATTAATCTCAAAAATATACAATCAACTCCTCCAGCTCAATTCCAGAAAAATAAATGACCCAATCAGAAAATGGGCCAAAGATCTAAACAGACATTTCTCCAAAGAAGACATACAGATGGCTAACAAACACATGAAAAGATGCTCAACATCACTCATTATCAGAGAAATGCAAATCAAAACCTCAATGAGGTACCATTACACGCCAGTCAGAATGGCTGCTATCCAAAAGTCTACAAGAAATAACTGCAGGAGAGGGTGTGGAGAGAAGGGAACCCTCTTACACAGTTGGTGGGAATGCAAACTAGTACAGCCACTATGGAAAACAGTGTGGAGATTCCTTAAAAAACTGGAAATAGAACTGCCATATGACCCTGCAATCCCACTTCTGGGCATACACACCGAGGAAACCAGATCTGAATGAGACACAGGCACCCCAGTGTTCATCGCAACACTATTTATAATAGCCAGGACATGGAAGCAACCTAGATGCCCATCAGCAGACGAATGGATAAGGAAGCTGTGGTACATATACACCATGGAATAACTCAGCCGTTAAAAAGAATTCATTTGAATCAGTTCTAGTGAGATGGATGAAACTGGAGCCCATTATACAGAGTGAAGTAAGCCAGAAAGATAAACACCAATGCAGTATACTAACGCATATATATGGAATTTAAAAAGATGGTAATGATAATGCTATATGCAAAACAGAAAAAGAGACACAGATGTTTTTGGACTCTCTGGGAAAAGGCAAGGGTGGGATGTTCTGAGAGAAAAGCATTGAAACAAGTATACTATCAAGGGTCAAACAAATCACCAGTCCAGGTTGGATGCATGAGACAAGTGCTCAGGGCTGGTGCACTGGGAAGACCCAGAGGGATGGAATGAGAGGGAGGTGGGAGGGGGGATTGGGATGGGGAACACATGTAAATCCATGGCTGATTCATGTCAATGTATGGCAAAACCCACTACAATATTGTAAAGTAATTAGCCTCCAACTAATAAAAATAAATGGAAAAAAAAAATTTTTTTAATAGAACACAATGGGAAAGCACAGAATTTTCAGTCCTGTTAAACTGGTTCTTTTAAGAATAAATTAGTGTGAAGATGAAAAATAAAAAAATAAAAAGGATATTAATCATTAAATAAAATAGAACAAACATCAACTGTGCTAAATGAGTTCAAATAATTAGACACAATTGAAATAGTTTCCAAAATATTGAAAAACCACAAACATGTTTTCAATTACAGTATTATCAGTTATCCTGAGAAACTTGAGAAAATGAGATAATTGCAGAAGACTGAAAATACAAAATTCTTTTCCCTGTTTAATTTCATGTATTGACAGAAAAAGATATGATAGAAGCATTGCTTTAGGAATAAAAATCTCTCTGAAGCATATAGTATAGAGAAAATACCAACTCATTCTGTATTCCCTTTGGTTTAGGCTCAAGATTTGAAATTAAGTAATAGAGTCTAGACTCAGTGCTTGTATTTATGGTAACCCCCTGAATAATTCTTCATGATCAGTATATTAAAAAAGATGACTTGGAATTTCTTAACTAAGTTTCATCTAATTAAAAAAAAAACAAGCAGAATAACTTGTTTATATTTCCTCATTTGATTAAACCACTGAAAGATTAGATGAATGCCATGGGTGTAAGTTTATCAGCAAGGTATTTTGCAGTATCTTCTTAGACACAACAAAAATGTGGGTTGGATAATAGAGCAACTAAGTGCATTATTCCCACACTGTGGCATTGGATAAATTACTGCTGAGCTAGAAGACAACTTCTGAAGGTGTGCTGAAAATCTTAGCCCTTGGACCTAACATTTTTCTGTGACAGATATAGTTCAGAAAATCTGTAGGCATCAAGCTTTCAGAAACAAAAACATCATCTCACAAAATTAATTTTCTCAATATCTCAGACTTGAAAATATAAAGTTGGGTTGGTTTGTTTTTTAATGAATCTC